GTATTGATTAACTTAAATATAGTCAAGTCTTCTTGTCTGCTTGTCTATGTTGGACTTTGCTGGTGGACAGAGACATCTTTCAGTAGGTGGAAATGGCACTCCTGGTTTGACTAATCAAAAGCACTCATTCTCTTCATCACAGTTTAGTCATTGATTTTGGGGGAAAGGTGCTAAAGGCATAAGCTTTGTAGTTCTTGTGGCCAGTGTATGTTGTATGGGGGAAAAGAAACAGGCCCTGCTTGGGGTGAGGGGCCTTCTATTTCTCAGGATGCACTCAGGTGCTGAAAATGTCATGACTTCTGTGCTCTGAAGATTGGAAGAGCAGCAGGTTGTGCACACATCCAAAGAAAACTGTTTTCTTTGAGAATAACTGGTAGGTATCTAGAGAGCTTGTTTATGGTCCAAGCTGCTCCTTGCTCAGTTCATATATGGTTACAATTGTTATAATGTTCCAGTGATGACTGTCAGCTGATGACAGGAGCACTGCCAGCTTATGTGAAGCTCTTCCCCTCCTGAAAAGCCTGTAAGCTTAAGGGAAATCTCAAGAATGTAGCACTGTGAACTGCTGTGTCCAGCATTTATCCTGCAGAACAGAAGAGAGCAGTGAGCAAAAGCAGTGAGGCAAAGACATAAAGCAACCGCCAGGGAGTGCACCACCACCATGGCCATTAAATCCATCACTATCATCATCATCACCACCATCATCATCGTTCACCTTTCCTACTGCAAAAGCAAATTGTCTCCAGAGTGAACGAGGAGCCAGAAGCGGTGCTTAGATCCAGAGTGCTGAGGTGGACCCAGAGTGCTGGGTGTCAGCAAATGTCCCCATCAGTCACAGGGAGATATATGGGACTTGGCCAGTGAGTGCTGACAGCACGTACCTGTCCTTGTTTTCGGGACAAAGCATCGTGCTGAAAGGTGGTCTTTTCTCTAACTGCAGGGCTAAGCAGGACCTACACTTCCAAATCAGCCAAAGCAAAGCAGCCCCAGCAGCAAGAAACATGACTGGGTTTTTGTTTGCAGAACAAGACACCTACTACTGCCTACCATCAGGGGGCTTCAAAAATGTGTTTACTTACTCTAAACAGTCTTAATATGTATTTATCTAATAGACTATTTACCTGCACTTTCCTATGAAGATTTTGGGAAAAATATCTGGCTGGTATGGGGCACCTGCAGCCACATCCTGCCCTTGCCGTAATCTGAGGGCTGAGGGTCGGAGATGGTATTCTCTCTCACATGGGTTTTTCTTGGGATGATGCGAGCAACAGAATTCAGCTCTGGCTCTGAACTCCCCACAACTACCCAGGCTTCATTTGGCAAACTCTTCCTCACCCTTCCTCCCTCACTTCACCAGCTAAATTCAGACAAGGCACTTGTATGCATAAAAGCTGTCAAAGGAATAACTTACAAGTACAGGAGCTAGAAAAGTCTTGAAGTGTAAAGCTGGCAGCCCCTCGAAGAACTGCAGGGACTATCCAATCCATCTGGTGCTCCTGAGTGCAGAGCAAACACACTTTTGACTAGTTCATAACTATGGCATATGCAAAAGGCTCAATTATTGCTTCTTAAAAAGCCCAAATTATCTCCTGGAGTCGGAGACTGACAGGCACACAGTCTCTGCAGCGTTATGCATGGCTGAATTTTTGCCTACTTATTCTCTGCTGTTCTCTACTGCCTGTAATTGCATTGCATTTTAACTGTTTAGCATCGTCAGAACTCCAGCCCCGGGGGCAGCGGAGGTGGTGAGAGCTCAACACACCAAATTACTACCCAAAGAGCAAGCAGACAAAAAGCAGAGTGGAGAGGGAGGGAGACAGACAAATGAGCCATGTTCATTAGAGAAACAGCAGCCCTGACCGAGGAAGCGTCCTACTGGTGTAATGAGAAAGGTGAAAGTTGTTAATAATAAAAAAGAACACAACAACACAGTTGCCTTTCTATCAGAAAGCAACAAATCTACAGAAAATAAAGGCACTGTGGAAAGCAGAGATGAAAACCAGCAAAATGCTCTTTGCCCACATAGCCCTTTCTTCCCTACCAGTTTTATTTAGTTGGTTTTTGGTGGTTTTTGTTTTTGTTTGTTTGTTTTTGTGGTTTTTTTTAATATTTGTTTGTTTGATTGGTTTTTGTTTTGTTTGGTTTTGGTTTTGGTTTTTTTTCTGGTGGGGGTGAGTTCTGTAGTTGCACTGTTTAGTGCTGTTCCCTTGCGTGCTGTGATGTGGCTCTGTCATGGTTTAAGCCCAGATGGAAATTAAGCACCATGCAGCCACTTGCTCAATCTATCCCCTCTCCCTCCCCTCTACCCCACACCCCTGGTGGAATGGGGAGGAGAACTGAAGTAAAACTTGTATGTTGAGATAAGAACAGCTTAATAATTGAAAATAGAAAAATAATGGTAAATAATAATAATGATAATAAAAAGAAACAAACAAGTGATGCACAATGCAATTGCTCATCACCTGCTGACTGATGCCAGACTCCCTTTTCTGAGCACAGCTCAGTCCCCCTTCTGGGTAACTGCCCCTGGTTTATATGCCAGGCATAATGTTCTACGGTGTGGAATATCCCTTTGATCAGTTCGTGTGGCCTGTCCCAGCTATGCTCCCTCTCACGGGCAGAGCATGAGACAAGGGGAAGAAAACTGTCCTTGACTTTGGATAAGCACGACTTGCAAAAACCAAGAGTGTTCTCCACACCATTCTCATTCTGAATCCAAAACACAGCACTGTAACAGCTACTGAGAAGAAACTAACTCTACCCTAGCTAAAACCAAGACATGCCCCAGAAGCTGGCATCTCTGCTACAGAAGCCCTACCATGTAAGGCAGTGAGACACAGTTTCTCACAGGCAAGTTTGTATTTCACCTTTGGCCAGCCAGAGGTCCTGATTGCTGATTCTTTCTTTTCCCCAAAAGATGCTGCAGGTTCAAATCCCTACGGCAGGTTCTGAAGGATAGGGCTATTTGCAGTCTGTCCCACAGCACAGGGAACAACAGCAGTGTTGGGGTAAAGGCAGAAGCCAAGGGAGTGGGATGGGTGTGACCCACCCCCCTAAGTTTGCACGAGTTGTGCAGAAGTGCATTTGAGTTTTTTTTCTCCTCTGGAAGGTCTTCCTGTGGGGACAAAAAGGAGAGGATAAAATGTCTGGATCACGTGCTATTGACGAAAAAGCTAATGCTACCACCTGTGAGAGTGCTGAAGTGCGTCAGAGCTTGTGATGGGGCTGCCCTGCTTAGGCACCTGCTTGGGTCACGGCTACTGAAGCTCTGACCTCAAGTAACTGACTAAACTCTATGCAGCACAGCCTTAAGTTACAGGAGATTGTTCCAGGGAACAGGTCCAGCGCAAAGCAGCAGCCACAACGTGACAGCCACAGAATGAAAGGTCAATTGCAGACACCTGAAGAACGGCCCAAGAGCCGCTCACCATGGCACAGGGTCCCCATGACCCAGCCCTTGCAGGCCACCAGCAAAGACCCTACTTGTGGGTCTTTGTTCTGCCTACCTGTAAAGCCAGGGGAGAACAGGATCATAGAATGACTTGGGCTGGAAGGGATCTTTAAAAGTCTAGTCCAGCCCTTGAGATGAAGCCAAGCAAACAGGCATGTCAGCAGGCAGAGCCAACACTGCCAGCAATAAAAATGCTTGTGGTAGCAGAGAGGTTTCTGTCCCTATCCCAGTGCAGCCCAGTAGGGAAGTGCCTCTGCTGTGGCTCTTGACCCAGAGGAGTGTGCAGGGTGGACATGAGGGAGCTGAGAAGATTCTTCAACTGTCTGTGCTGAATATTTTGAGGGTATTGACATTTCATGTCAGCTGCATTCACCAGGGTTAATTAAAGCCTGTGTTTTATAGATTGCCCTTGGCCATAAACGGAAAAGCTGCCTCAACTGGAAATCAATATAGTAATCTTTAAGTTATTTTATTTTATTAGATATAGAGTCCTAATTTGAATATATGGAGGAGTCATAATTAATGGTGCCAGAGAGGTCCTGAGATGTAAGTTTAAAGCTTCCTGAGGAGCGTGTAGGCAGTGTGCTGGAGGTGCGCAGCACAATCAGGGCGTAGCACTGAAGCCAGGGATGCTCTGATGAGCAAGTTCCTAGGAGTGCTCTGATGCTGCAGAAATCCAACAGCAATTCAATAGGCAGCACTCTGTACCAATCCCTTGCCCAAAAAATTGAAGGGAAGGCTGTGAATGGCAGTGTTGTCACCACAGGGCACAGCAGGAAAGTCAGATCCTGGGGTCAGCAGTGGGCTGCTGGCAGCTGAGGAGTCCTGGAGATGCTCTGGGATGGCCTCCCTGCTCTGAGCCAGTGAGACTGATGTGCTTTATGCCTTTCTCTACTATGCACCAGTGTGAGGTTAAATGGTTCACCCTTCTTCAGTGGGTTGGAGTAATTCCAAAACCACAAAAACCTTTGGGGGTTTTGGAAGGGGAAGTATTCTGATGGTGCTGCTGCTTTCCCTTTCTCCTGATTCTTAACAGGAATGGAAGTTCATACGTTTCCATTTATGACAAGTTTTGTCATTTCAGGGGTTAAGAGGATCTCAGGTCTGCTTAATTTCTGCTCTCCACCAAACCCACCTCTTTTACTTCATATGCACTCACACAAGCCAGTTCCTTTGAGAGACGTTTCCCAGCCTTCTGATGAGAACTTGGTGCTCTACCATGCCCCTTATCATGAAAAGCCTGAACACCTTCCCCAGTTTTGGTGGTTTTCACTTTTCCAGTACCAAAATTTGCAGAGGGCCTTGCTCTCTCCCCATCACTGATTGTAACGAGGATGAGTTTCCACTTGCCACCTTCAGCATGTCTTCTGCAAGGTTTCACGGTGCCCCTGCCACCACTATGCCCAGATTATCTAATGTTTGCTCTTTAGGCTCATTGTAAAGAGTTCAGCTCACTCTGTGCTTTAGGAGTGCAGCTTAATGGACAACAGTTGCACTAGGTATGGTAATGGATTGTGTTTCTGCAAAGACAAAAAGAATAGCCACTTAGTAAAGATAATAACTTTTAATAGGTAGTTAATTTTTTTTTTCTTGACACACCATGGTAGTTTCTGAACAAATTTTGCACACACACACAAATATATATTTCACAATCTTTCTCTGCTTTTTTCTACTTTCCTTTCACTATGATGCAACATGCTCCAAAATATTCATTTTTAATCAACATGAAAATCAACCCACAATCATTGCTTTTATCGAAGAAAACTTCAGCAATCAGGAATCTGAATAGCTGCAGATGCCAACTAGCATATTTTAGATGGCCTGACCTTTCCAAAGTAGGTATCCAAGACTTCTCTGTTTCTGAGGAACTAAAGTGATCTGGGAATACCTGAATGAACCACGTAAGTTCAGCTGCAGCATGGAGGACACTTGTTTGTTCCCCATCTTTTACAGAGGTTCATCAAATGTTTCTCATGGTGCTGCTAAGACACAGGATTATTAGACCCATCAAAGTGTAAGAGTAATGGTCAAGCACAGAGAAATGAATTAATAAATCTGCTCAATCTCTTACCATACTGGTAGGCAAATTTTAAAATTTCAGAGAATGGAATTGGAGAGAGAAGTTTCTCAAAAGCATTGTAGGTATCAAAACTTAGATCACCATCCTGAATCTTGGTCCTGCCCTTAGGCCACCAGTTGTCTTCTTTCCATTCCCCAATAAAACAATGGAAGTTCTTGGAACACTAACAAGAATCGGGGGATTCAGACTGAGCAGATGCTCACAGTAATATAATTTTCAAACATTTATAGTTCTAGAAAAGTAGGATACATGCAGGTACAAGCACTACTTGATATTTTGGAATTGTCAGCTCTGTACAAATTAAGAGTGTCTGTAATTAGCACTTGAAACACTCCTTAAATTTCCAGAGTTATTCAATAACCTACAGGAATCCCACGCATTACTCAGAACACAGGGAAGAAGGTTCATCTGTAAAATTGCTTATCTTGCTGATTCCCACTGTGTGCCCCAGGCTATACAGAAGTCATATTTGTAGCACACGTAATGCAATTAGCCAAGGAACAGGTGAAAATAAACTATGTTGCCTGTTACATTACAAGGATCATATTCAGTAATTTACAGAACTTCAAAGAGCCTCAGTGCAAGGTATGTTCCCCTCTTACCAGAAAAAAGCACACACTTGAGCATTCCACCCGGGCATCCCACCCTGTAAACATTTATGACAAGCAAAGCATGTGCTACAGTGAGGAGTCTCATGGAAATCACTGAACTAATTTTCATAGTGGCTGTTTGCCCAGTACTGTTTCAAGGGTCAGGCCCTGCTTGTATTTTGCTACATACAGTTAAAAAAACCTTGCTACTGTAATTTCAACAAAGTATGCTGACATATTCCTCCCTGTATGTGCAGAAAACATTTTTAGTAAGTACTATGTAAACCACCTGATTTTTACATTCTCATCAGCCTTGTTTTGCTGCTTTTACTATATGTGAAAATAATAAATACATATGATATACCAGTTATTAAGCCTTCAAAAAAATTACATATTCCAGAAGGGACTTGAGAAGTCAAGAGTTGGTCATTAACACAAGTGTCCTGTCCAGTAAAAAGCTTCAACTGGTCCACGTTTCCCACAGAACTGCAATTTTGGTGGTATGTTCCTGCACACTGTGATAAAATAGGCTGTTTCACATCTGAAATGACAACAGTATCTATGCATTATTATTCCAAGTAACACATTCAGGAACATAAGAGTAAGCTAAAACGGAAGGCATAGAATAAATCTAATCTGGGTAAGCAATAAGGATTAAATCCACTGTCCAGGCCATTGTCCTTCCCCCACACAAACAGAACCACCTCTGTGTTTTCAGTAATGTAGGTAAAATTTCATTCAGTTGCTCTAACTGAAGAAAAAAGGAGGTTATTTTGTCCTTACTGCTAGCACTGGGAAAGCTCTGTTTCTTCATCCTGGGGGGAATGAGAATAGGTCAAAAACATCAAAGATGTTCTTCACATTTCTGGTCAACCAGATATTTTTCAGTGGAGAGTCATGGATCCATTTTGGAGGGGCTTCATTCTACAGTGATGGTGGCAGGCTGGGCTTTGTCTGAACCCTGCTGCCTCTGTCTGGTCCATCCCACAAATGCTGTGACACTCAGATCCTCAGGCCATTCTCCTCCTCTACCTCCCTACATTGCCCTGGCTAAAGGGCCCTTCCCACACCTGCTTCCTTCTCCCACCCTCAGCAAAGGACCCCATTTCACCACAGGTGATGGAAACAACTCCATGGGAGGTGAATATTGGGGTGCCAGAGAAAGCTTCGTGCATGAAGGAAAATGCAGCATCCACATCACAAACAGTGGATTTCAGGGGTGCTCTGATGGTCTCTGCCCTCTCACACATAAAAATACCATCCAACACCTGCCATGCATGTTAACCAACAGGAATTTCAAGCCATAATAAACCACCTCAATAAAAGTGCCAGTATTTGCATGAAGTGAAAAGGATACAGATTTTTCATGAGAAAAAAAGGAGTGAAAAACTTCTGGGTACCAAAATCCTTTTTTTTCCTTTTTTTTTTTTTTTTTTTTTTACAGGTAACTGGCTTTAAAAATCTCACACAAACGGAAAGAAATTTCACCCAGGGAATTACACTCAGGAAATGCTGAACAGTTCAAATCATGTGCTGTGCCTATAAAGGTCTATCTCTGTGAGGTGGCAGTTTCCCCCTCTACTGACCTGGGTCTCTGGTCATGATGGTATGCTCAAGCTGAGCTTTGTTTAAGCTGTTTTTCCTTGAGGCTGCTGCCAACTGAACTCATTGCTCATTTTATGTTTCATTTTTAACCCTTTTGTTTAGTTACATGGCACACACCGAGACTGAAAACTATTAGAGAGACTAACAAACACTAATGTTACAGGATGTAAGACTAAGGCTACAAACTTACGTATTTATTGCTGAGATGTGAAGAGTTGTCGAGTTTTATTCTTCCCCTGAGATGAGTGCTCTCCTAGAGAAACAGAAAATATATTTGTATTACTTAAACATGTAAAGATAAAAGGTCCAATGAGTCCGGCAAGAACACATCACTGACCACTAGACAGTCTCCTTGTCAGATTTACTTAATCAGCAAAAAATGTCCACGCAATAGATTTTTATCACTCTTTCTGTTTTATAGTTTATTTCCCCTACTACTACAAAGTATTTCCAAGACAGTTCTCAAGGGGTTTGAAGGGGAATAATACTTTAATTAATTTCTAACCATGATTAGAACATTAAATTATAAAAGAAAGAAGATACAACGATAAAATTAATTTTTGCCGACAATGCTGACATCAGCTCAGTTCTTCCAAAGCAGGAAAATGAACCTTTATGAACTTCAGTCAGGGATTACACACAGTTCTCACTCCTCCTTCCCTGGAGAAGACTCATAAATAGTTTTTGGACAACTTTTCTTCACAGCAAAAAGAATAGGTTCTTTAATTTAGTGCAGCTTTTTGGAGATGAGTAGAACTTGGTATCATCTGTGGAAAACTGTTCAACAATAATGTGCTGGAATGATGTTCGCTTCCTAAGTGTTCAATTTTGGACAAAATTACTTTAAAATCTTTTTAAATTGTTGCGAAGTTAGAGGTTCACAAGTTCTGATGATATTAAATTTCAGGAAGAGAAAAGAAAAGCACAAGTTTCTGCTGGAAAAGAAAAAGAAACATTTTAACAAGACATATTTTTGGTAGGTGAAATGTTTTTGTTCGATAAAAATCTTACTTTGAAAAGGAAAAGTGAACAAGTTCAAATACTGTAAATTTATACCAACAAAAGAATGAGATTTTCAAGACATCTCATTTTTTTCTAATTTTAAGTTTATTTATTTTTCCTTCTGCAATTTTTTACCTTCTTTGTTCAATATACAGAAATAGAAGACTTAATAGGGCACAAAAGGGACAAATTGACGAGACTGTTTAAAAAAGAAAGTGTAGCAGAAATTCATTGAGAAATATACTACCATGGAGAAGATAGTATTCAATAGTGGTAATAAATATTAGTACTTTGTGATCAGTTCCACTCTCAGGTGGTTGTTCTACAGCCAGACTTACATGGAAGGTTGATACTTTGCACTACAGGAAAACAGCATGTCTAAGGGGAGGCTCCAGATTCAATATAGCTCCCTGGATAATATCCCATTTATGCCAATAGACTTTGGATCAGAGGATGGAATGGGTGAGGCAGTGCTGGCTGCAGAAGTCAGACTGCATGAGTGGTAGCTGCTGACAGCAGTGGTCAGGCCAGGAGGGGTGAATCTGCCATCCTGCAGACCCTGAGGCTGCAGAACACAGGCACTCACACTCCCTGTCTGGATTTCCTGGTGCTATACACATTATCCCTGAAACAGCAAATCACCACAAACTATTGCCAGGGTCGATGTTCCCCTTTAATAACAGTGTCTGTCTGATGAGGGTTTGAAGCAGGCAGGGATGCTCTACATTTCTTTGCCACTGCACTTCCAGAAGGGCAGGAGCCTGCAAGACTTCTGAAACAAAACTGAGCTGTTGCCACTCCGTGGTTGCAAAGGTGTCTGAAGATATTTGCATCATGAGGTCTGTAATCATCAGTGCCAGCTAACAATTAAGTGATGGAGAGACAACGATTATATGCTGGAGAGGAAGTGGTCACACAGATGCTCTCTGTTCAAGAGTAAAAAGGTAGTGCACAGGTTTAGATACAGCTCTGCAGTGTGCCTTGAGACTGCACAGAGAAGTGTCCAGAACTATTTTGGACTTCAGTGGGTCAGTAGTTTGATTAGACACTAAACATCCAGTTGCAATTCAAAGGGAAAACCAAGAAGAACGTTCAGGTTGGCTGCAAGTGGGAAGACACATTTATTGGTCTCAAAACAACCTTATAACTGACAGAAATAAATTTTAAGAATAAAAAAAAAACCAAACTTGCCCCCAAACCATCACTCACCAAAATCAAACTTTGCTTCCCATAAGGGAAATGAAAACCAAATCCTTGTGTTTAGTATTTTGTTAAAACAGACGATATTTTCAATAGAATGAAGAAATTATTTCATAGTGAATTGTTTGCTGATTAAGAAAATACATGGTGCAGTGGAGGTGCTCAACCAGTCTAGGCAGATTACCTGAATCCCTTGAAGGCTGCCAGAGAATCATAGAATTGTTAAGGTTGAAAAAGACCTTTAAGATCATCAAGTCCAACCATCAACCCAGCAACCCCACCATGTTCACTTTTAAACCATGTCTCAAATGTCACATCCACACATTTTTTGAACAGTTCCAAGAATTGTGACTCCACCACTGCCCTGGACAGCCAGCTTGCTCTTCCAAAGCTTTGCCACCCTTTCTGTGAAGAAATGTTCATAATTTCCAATTTAAACCTCCCCTGGCAGAACTTGAGGCCATCATTGAAAGAGAAAGGGTATAGATATGCAAAATATACCAACAAGAGCAAAGTTGCTGCACAACATTATCAGTGAAAATTGTCTTTTATTTATTCTGGCTTGTGCATTTAGGGAAGGATGACACACAAACTCTAGTGTTGCACACTAGGAGACGGAAAATATCAAGAGAGACTTGAAGCATCAGCTTCTCACTATACAATTACTCAACATCTTGAATGAAGGTGTTGGTTGATCCAATTGGAAAGGTTCTATGGCAATAACTTTTTAATAACAAGTTGAAAATTTATTGTGAATTTGTCTACTTTGATAAGTGAGTGAACTCCGAAAAATGGGAGACACAGGAAACTGTAAGACAGTATTTGGTGCAGCTGAAGTGCTGTGAACTGCACAGCTACAGGTGCAGTGTGACTCCCTTTGCCTGTGGTCCTGCCTTGTGGTACCTCTCCTGATGGAGGAGGAGTTGTGGACTCAGATAGATTGGCAGAGGGCAGCGAGAAGCCAACCTCATGTATATCACGTGCTTCTACAAAAACTGAAAGAAATGATTCACAGTTTGAGAAAGAGGCCTTAGGCAGAATATTTGGAACATGAAATCAGATTGATACTGACATGGAAGGTTTAGCTGTCAAATGAACTCTTCCATTAGACCCTTTATTTTCCCTCTCATTCTCCAGAGTTGCACCTGTTTGTTGATTTTTGTCTGAAATTGAATGGCAAACACAAAGACATAGGCACCATGAAGTCTCTAAGCACTACTGCCATAAAATGCTGACAGATTTGCAGTTACACTGTCCAGCTTATTGCTGTGGGAGGCTGCAGATATGCCAGTGGACAAGACAAATCTGTGGAATTAAAAGCTACTGAAAACTATGAAACACCAAAGACACAACGTCTGATTCAGGACGTCTCCAAGCCACCGGCTGCTGGAAGGCTATGGTGGAGGACCCATTATTGTACTCCTTTCCTATTTGTCATCCTTCCCTTCACATCTCATGATAGCCACCCTCAGCGACAGGATTTGGGGCTACACAGACCCAGGATCTGAGCAGGTACAGCTGGATCAGATCACTGTGTCTCAGCTTCAATATTAAAGGAGATGGTGCTCTAGCAACAATAAAGCACTGGCCTTTCGTACACACAGCCTTCCACGTCACCCCTCAAACACGTGAGCTGCAGCCTTGCCCACAATTCACCCCAGTGGATCAGCAGCCCAGGCACTGGGCCCAATCCAATACACACTGCATACATCCTCCTCTAAAATGCAGTCATGCTGTAGAAGGATAAAGATAAGAAAGGTGTAATAGGAAAAATTTGTATTCATAACTCCTCATCCTTCAGTGCATTTGTTTCAAGTGCATGGAAAGTAGACTGAGTGCACAGGTCCTGAGAGCTCTGCAAAGTTGAATGATAACCAGGAAAGAAATAGTACTGCAGTGAAAATGCAGGGTTTTCTTCCTAATTAAAATTTCACTTGTGTAGTATTTGTTTCGATTTTCCACTCACAAATATACTCATTTCCAACTATTATGATGCCAGTGTATGTGAATAAGTAATGGGCACAATGAGCTGGAATTACACATTGTATAAAGTCAATTTTGAAGCTCTGAAACAAACATTTCTTTGCCTCACTGTTGTGGAAGGCTATTGTATTAATCTCACTGTAATTTGCTCGCTGTCCCCCTCCCTCATTTGATTCAGAATCTGAATATATTATTCAGAATACATGTACACAGCAGAACATCATGACAAAAAAGAGAGTACAATATGAGTGCTATGAGTACAGGAAGTCTTTGACCTGGGCAAAGCCCTCTGACATTATTGGGAAAGCTGGAAGAAAAAGGACACAAACCCAGCCTTTGACATAAAAAATAGGTTGTACTCCATCTCAGATTACATTGTAAGAAAAAATTAGTTGTGCTGCTATTTCATTGTAATATCCGCTGCTGAGAAATTGCTCATAAGTGGCAATCAGGCTCAGAGCAAAGAATTAAAGTGAACTTTTCATAAAATCTGATTGCAGAAGCCCATCTTCTTATCAAATTATAAAACTACCTCTGCAGACAGAGGAATCAAAATGTCTATTTTTACCATGCTGAACTAAAAGAAAGAGAGGTGCATTACAGATGCTGCAGAACATCCTTAGGTGGGAACCAGCACCTGGGTGCAGTGGCTGGGTTTGTCGTGGGCCAGTGGGTCCAGCCCCTGCAGCGTGCTGCAGCACTGCCCTGCACCACACTTCCCCCATAGACCTGCAAACTGCTCCTCACCACTGTCAGCAGGACAGGAGGATCTTCTTTAAAACCCCTTGAAAATATGCACCGTTTATGAACCAAATTAGAAATAGAGAAGGAAGCATGTGCTATTTAATGCCTTTGACAACAGTTTTGCCCAAAAGTTTCAGCTGGAAGTGAGTGCAGTCAGATCTTTGTGGCACGAGTAAACACAGAGTCCAACCACAAGCTGCAAAAGCTGAGAAATTTTATTCTTCAGTTTCTGTGAAGACAGAAAACACAACTTCAGGGTATTATACAATAGAAGATTAAAAAAATGGAGTGTCAGGAAATGAGAAAGAGAAGGAAAGAGAAGGA